CCTGTCRACAGGAGGAGTTATTCCACAGGTATTGATTTGGACATGGRTTTTATATGGACATCATGGTGTTAAAGTAAGCTTCACCAAGAGGGTAAAATCCACTTGATGGACGTGCAGTAGAAACCTGTGTTTGCATAACTTATATTGACTTCTTTCATGTATTTACTTTATAGGACACACAGGTGTAACCAAAAAGTCTGTATTCTATTACCATCTCCATAAGCTGTTAAAACCAGGTGGGGAAATGCTCTTTATCTTCAGCATGATTCAGCCCTGATAACACCTTCTGGGGACCTATCTCTGCTAATGGGCCATCAAGGTCTCTGGAATGACTCATAGAATTACATTATCCCACTGGGAGATGCCACCACCCAGAAAGGAGGAACTGGACATCCCTATGGACAAACAAAGTGAGGGTCTGGAACACTACAACTCTACTTCCACTGGATACCTCGAGGAGGTCAAGGATCATCACTGGACCTCCAGAGACAGACRCAAGCTGTCTTCAGGATCACCRCTTTGATAGGACCATATCCATCACTCCAAYAGGACTGCAGCCACCACCCACCAATGGGGTGTCAGGTTGTATTCTGACTTTGTCAGTTTAAGTGTTGTTTCTGTATTATTGCCTTTATTTTATTTTTTCTATTAAATTCTATTGAATATTAAATTATATTTTTAATTTTTCTGTTAAACTGTAGTTCTGACTTAGAATCTCTCTCAACATATTTGTGTGGGGGTAATTCCCCTGCTGGTTTKCTTTCAAGCTAGCACAACAGGTGTGTTACCCATCCTAATGCAAGAGCCTGTACCTGGATGCGCTGTGAGCATTTCCTTTGACATGGCTGCTGCTGAACTCCAAAGCCTTGGTCAGCCATCACTCACTAGCCTCTGCGAKCAGTGCCTGTCCTTCCTTTGCTTGGTGTCACAGAAGCCCAGTGTCAGAAGCCCTCCAGCTTCAGCACCCAGATGGATCCAGTGACCAGGAGGCAAATTGTGATGGGAAGAGCAGCTGGAGGAGCTTTTCTTTCCATCTGCTCTGAGCGTATACACGTGTGAGCCACTGCAGGACAAGGAAGGAAGAAGAAGACTAATTAATAAATATTAATGAAATAACAATAAAAAAGCAGCACAAAAAATCCACAGCATAGAAAAAAAAGGTTTCTCAATAATGAAATGAACCTAGAATCTCCCTCTGCCCCACCCTAAAATGACTTCTGCAGACTGTCTCAGTTTCCTAAGAAACAAGGTCTTTGATTCGGTTACATCATGCTAATTATAAAGGTACCCTTAGGATAYGAAACTTTGTTTCTCATCCAGACCTAATGTTGAAGAATAATTTCTCACACACAAAATCTGTCTCCCAGGGTTCTGCTTCTTATACCAACGTTCTTCTGTGTTCATGAAGAATAGGYTGTAGGAGAATAAATACTGTGACAACTACTGTGTTCTTTAACAATACTCCCTTAGATAAACACTGTTGTTTTAAATTATTGTAACCCACTTGATACAATCCTGAAAACCCACTTTTTCATACAATCCTGAACTGTACTTCTCATATTATGGAAAATAAGAGTTTCTATACTGTGAAGTATTTCACCTTTTTGACTGTCTTCAGAAATTTTATATGCATATTGTACATATTCAGGGTAATTATTATTTATTATTTTTCACCTACTCTGGTARTAAAATTAGTCAGAACACAGTTTGTTTAGGGCTCCTTATCTCGACACTATATAATGGGGTCGGATACATACCCCTTGGTGTACACATTTGTTGTTTAATGATGTTTTATAGTACCTTGTCACGTCTGCTTGTCATCAATCACAGATACACTTGCCAAAACCACCTATCTGCCTGAGCTGGTTTGCAAAGTTTCAGGCTTGGTGCTATGGAAATATGGATTACTTGCACATTAGAAGAAACTATTTTGTTCTCAAGGGCAAAACAAACTTTCACTGTAAGGACTGTGGGAAGCAGGTTGCTTGATCACTATCAAAAGAGGACCACAGTTTTTGCATTTTCAAGAAAAAATACAAGCTGCCAAGTGAAGATAATGAATAAGTTTTTGCTTTTCAATGTTATTCTGCAGAACACATGCTGAATAATCAATTTTACAACTTATCAGTGTAAATCAGCTTTTTAATATACTGAAAAAAATATGATTTTATATTTTATAGGATTAATTCAGTCTTCTCAGAGAAATATGCAGGTATTTCCGTTTTTGTTATTTGCAAACTCTGAATCAGAGTTTCTGTGGTATGCAAAACTTAAGAGTTCTCTGTTAATGTATTTCTGTGAGGAGCTCTTGGAAAGGTGACTAATTTACACACAGGAGGCCAAGATGCATGGCTCTGGGTCACTCTTCGATGTGATTTGTCTGAAGATGCTAAGGAAAGGGCTACAAATAACACTTATTATTTTTAGCAGAAACATGATGTCTGTAACAAAAAATATTACATTAAGGGGTGCACCAAAGGGAAAAAGAACAATCTACTAAAAAAAAAAATTAAATCTACAAAGGAAATGTTAAAATTAGCTGTGAGGATGTCGTTTAGACATTGGTAATGATTCAGTTTTGAAATAAAACTGAAAAAGGTCAAAAATACGCAAACGACACTTTAGGTATCACATGGGCAGTGAGTGGAGGACAAAACAACCCTTTGCTAAGCCACTATCCAAACCACACGTTTTTATCACTTTGTACAACTTTCAATCATCTCAAAGTGCTGCATAGGAACTCTCCAGTCTTGATCTTGTTGCACAACTTCCCTGCCTACTCTGCATGAACCAGCACACATTTACCTGTTTCTTTCTGTTTTGACTGAACTATGTTCTACCTAGCACACAATATACACACCTGTTTTTGCTAATTCTTTTTTAAGATAAGGAAAGCTTATATCTGTAATGGGGAAATTATATAAATGGGATGTAATGAAGCCAGTGAAGAAGTATTTCATTCACCTGTGATGCCAAAAATGAGGTCCTACAGGGGACACTACTAATGCAACATATGGAACCTCAGGGTGTTGTAGAGCAGCTCATATGCTACTCCAGGACGTTCAGCCCAATTACCAAAGAACTGATGATACAGCTCCAATTATCACATGAACTCTTAAAAATAAAAGGTATCTTTAAAATATTTATCAGACAGGCTTTAAAAGCACCCCATGAAAACCTCTATTTCCTCAGAACATGCCTTTGTTTACATTTTTGACCAGCTCTATTTTGGAAACATTGTAATTGTTCTGTTTTTTTGAAATCAAGATCTATAAATTCTTTCTTTTTATTTGTCTGCCACCAAAAGCTGACCAAGCATTTTTTTTTAGCAAACCTGACTCCCTCAAAATTTCCACTGAATTCCACTGAACTTCTTTAATTTTGAAAATTAATTATTTGGGACATATTTTAGTCTTAATGCATTACTTTGTGAGGGATTTTTCCTTTTGTTTTTTTCTTCCTGAGATCATCAAGCCCWTTCCAAACTCTAATCACCCTTTTTGTGAAAAAATTCTTCCTAATGTCCAATCTAAACTTYCCCTGGTGCAGCTTAAACTTATGTCCTCTCATCCTCACTGGTTGTCTGGGAGAAGAATCTGACCCCCACTTGGCCATGGCTCCTCTCAGGCAGTTCAGGGAGCCATGAGGTCACTCTGAGCCTCCTTTTCTCCAGGCTGAACACCCCCAGCTCCCTCAGCTGCTCCTCACAGGATTTGTGCTCCAGACCCTTCCCCAGCTCCGTTGCCTTCTCTGGACTCGCTGCAGCCCCTCAGTTCCTTCCTGCAGGGAGGGGCCCAGAACTGGACAAAGCCCTCGAGGTGTGGCCTCAGCAGTGCCCAGGACAGGGGGACAATCCCTGCCCTGCTCCTGCTGGCCACACCATTGCT